AAAAAAAAAACAATCAATAGATTGCGCGAACATTCAGACGCTGCTACAACCAAGATAAAATGCATATGAAATTACAATAAACAAAAACAGGTCCAAGGGGTCTATTTCCAAATTTTATTTTATTTTAGCATGAGAAAGTAAAACTTTCATACTTTTTATTATAGAACAGAATAGTTTACTTGTCCTGCAATTTTTCTGGTCATGATTCACTTGCATGTTTTCAAACAAGTTTTCATTTGATGTTCATTATGTGTATGTTTCAGCTCCTCCCAATCAAAATAAAAAAGAGAATGGTCGAAGAGTCTTGCTTTTTTCTTCTAAGCATCTCTAATTATCATGCATAGTAATAAACACATTTATAGAACAAACTTTATTAAAGGTTTATAACTCTCTCCAATAAAAAAGAGCCTAGCCTCATTTGGTTAAGTTTTGTTACTTGATTTGCATTTTAAAATTTTGGCATATCACCATTTTGATAGAGGAAGAAATATGTGTGGAAAATTGTTATCTTGTGGATGTAAAACCTCCCATTTTAGAAGCTTGTCAATCTGTATAAGAATAATGGCAGCTTGATGGGATCCAGGGTCCTAATTAAGCAATTCCAACTTGCTCAAGCTCCCAAAAGAAAGAAAATAATAGGATGTATATATAAAAGAGGAAATCAATTTTTTATCTCCTCTCATCCCTCTCCCCAGATGAGGTATTCCAAGAACACAAACTCGTTAATTAACCATCCTTATTAAAACTAATTCATAATGATTTATATGCTAATCATATACTCTTCACATTACAAATAAGATTTTAACCATATGCAATTTATGTTGTGAATTCACAACACAGCTTCGCTTCATAAATCATAATAAAAGCCTAAGATTACAAAAAAAAATAACCTAGTACATAACCAAACTCATGTTTGGCAAAAGTTGGATATATGTACAAAATTTCCTGCTGCAAACATTACAGTGAACAATGCATATAAACAAGGCAATTTCAGATTCAAGAGGTCATCATTCATTAGCAAATGTTGTTTTATCATGCTAACAGCAAATATCTGGCAATTTGTTTGTTCATATCTTTACAAAAATAATTATATAAGCAGCATTTCAGTCCCTGTACGCAAAGATCAAAATGGGCGATGCCCAGATGTTAGGTTAACTGAATACAGATCAAAAGCATTGACACCATAATAGCACTAAACTACTGATGTCTATATATCAATAAACCAAACAAACCCTAAATTGCTTTGCAAAAAACTAATCCAAGATAAACAGGATCCGGACAGCAAAAGGAAATGAAATCAAGCAACCATTAATTAACTCTTCCCACCTGGTTCTCCTGAGGCTTCTTAAACCATGCGTCTTCTTTTCCAATTTCCTCCACCCTCTTCTTTCTCCTCTTCTCCGCCGTCACACTATCCACTTCCCCAACAGCCGTTTCAGTCCCACCAACATATTTCACCAAACTCCCATTTCCCGCGCCATTCCCGTTCAAATAAGCATCTAGGTTTCCATTCGCACTCCTCTCCGCAACTTCAAGCCCCGGCACGCTTCCATTTCCATTCCAGCTGTAGTCATGCACCAACTCCAGCTCCTTTTCTTCTTCCCTCGGCGCCTCGGTGACCGCTAACCTCTGCTCTCGAACTGATCGGAGAGAAACCCGAGATGAACTCCTCCGCCGAAAAGAATGCTGGATATTGAATCTAATCGGAGGAATGCGCGCACAGCGCATGCAGATGAAGAAGTCTTGAGCGGAAGGGGTATTGCCGGCGAGAGTTCCCGCAGCCAACGCCGACATCACCGTTAGTCACCCGGAAACTGCCCTAGTTTTGCTCCAAGGCGACGTCCAGCCGTAAAACTCGCGGCTTGGAGCCTTCCAGAATGCGAGGAGGAGTCGAGAAACTGAGCAAGAGAGTTTTGGCGAAGGAAGACGGTGGGGCTCGTGGGAAAGCTAATGGGGGACATCAGGTTTCGGAGAGGTGGCTGCCATGTAGCCACGTGGCATTTGAAAGGATGGAGATGACGTTGTGATTGGCTGCGAATAAGCGCG